TCACCCTGTAGTCAACGAATTGGATAATTATCCATATAGTAAATACACAAAAGTCTCAAAAAATACTGCGTTAATACTTATAAAAAAAATATATTGGCCTATGTCAATATTTACGAATAACCCTGTATAAATGACACGTAAAATCTTTTGTGTTATCATTAGAAATGATAAATATAGCAATAATTTATTTTTTAGTAAATATTGTCACCTTCTAGAACAATAAAAATAATTATCAAAACACGTCCTTACTTATTTGTGGCTTACTCTGTAAAGAAAAATAATTTTTGACCCCTTTTTATATTCGTAAAATGCCAAAAGATGTTACAATAAAATTTGGCACAAGAAATTATAATCAATTAGCTTTTTCCTGAAATAACCGTTATCAAATAAGTGGTATCTCAAAAACCAGTCATAGGATTTGAATAGTCCCATAGATATTATTGCTTAAGAGATCAAGAACTGTGATATATCAAAAATTTATGACATTTAACAGGTCGCTACTTTTCCATAAGCGGTGTGCGGGGTCCTTTCTCTAATATAAAACATTTTACAAAATTCGTGTATGGGACAAATATTATAGAGAATGCCGTCACAAGTATCTTTTACTTGATAATTTTTTCCTAAACATTTGATTTTTGCACACTCTGTCTAATTTCTCGGATACAGTGGTCCATTTTAGGACAATTATGTATAAAACAAAAAAATATAGAAAATGATATTATAAGTAACTTTTGTATGACGAATTTCCTTCTCCAAGCGTAAATGATAGATATAGTGTGAGATTACAGAACGTCTGCAACTTTTCAGATCTGCAAATATGCCGGCAACTTTGCAGATCTGTAAATATGGCGACAACTTTGCAGATTTGCAAATATGGCGGACTATAAGTTTGCATATTCCAAAAAATATGTGCAAATTCTCAATATTTATTATGGTTTATTATCCCCAACAACACTAAACCCAAATCCATTACTATGTTTAAAGACTCGATAATCTAATACCATAAACTGTATTCAATCGAAAAGAACAGAAGACTTCATGGTCATTAAAAAAGAAGTAAACCAAAAATGAAAATCTGCAAATTTGTAGGATCTTCTAACCTGCTGCAAAGTTACAGATGATTTGCAGACGCAAAAAGTGAAAACACGTGTTTCTCTTTAGCAACTTGCTTGCTTAGATTTGTTAGACCAGGGTCGATAATTTTAAAAATGGTAAAAAGTAAAAAAAAATTAAAGTAGGATGAAACCCGTTAAAAAAAGGACGAGAACATAACAAAAATGAAAGGAAAAATAATTTACGGGCGATCTGAGGTCGGGAAGTGGATGAGTTTTTAAGGGTAAAAAACGGTGTATCTCGATTTACAGCAAAACTACAAGTCCTATGGAAAAAAATTAAATGACAAAGTTGTAGGAAATAAAGAGATCTACAACTCTTGTAATTACACTTTTTTCACATAACCTCAAAATTTATGTGAAAAATTCAAATAATCAAGTTTTGGTTTTTTATTTTTATTTTATGGACAAAAAATGGTTTTTCTTGAAATTTGGTGACAACTTACCTTTTTATGTCCTAAAGACACAATTTCATCTGAATCACTAACTTCCTCGTAGGTTTTTTCTTCCACATTGGTGCATTTTTCAGAACCATTACAATTTGAGCATAAATTTGTGCATTTTAAGCCATGTTTTCGGCAGCCACATTTTTACATCCAGTTTCACAGCTGCAGCAAATAGTTTTGAGCAATATTTCCGGAATTAACTCCTTCTCTGTAAATTTGGGCATAATCCCACGTTGATGTTACTTCCAGCCCCAATCTGTTGCTGTCAGTTCGATACCTAGCCAAGTTTGAAGTTAATAATATGCCCTGTAACAATGTTGTTCTGCTGCACCTTCTGTGGGTGGGAGATTTGCCAATATGAAAGATGATTTAATTTTTGCCAATTGATATTTTTGAAATCTTAATTGATTCAGTGTTATATTGTCATTTTTACATTTATAGATTTTATTAATTGTAATCCATTTTTTTCGAACTCTTTTTTGTTTGCATTTTTTTTATAGAAAATATTGGCCAAATTTGACATAATTTTATCGTCTAATAATGAATTTACAATACTCTTCTTTCCTTTTCCGGCAAATCCAGAAAAACAATGCAGAAATGCAACGATATTTTTGAAGGATTCATATTTGAAACTATTAAATAGATCATTACATTTCTTGAAACCTGGTTTGAGAAAATAAATGTCATGATTATGAATATTTTTATTTTTCACCTTATTTTGACTTAATATCGAAAAAACACCCTAATTATCAATCAAAAATTCTCGCGTCAAAATATCGGCTTTTTAAAAAAAGTTGGCAAGTTTTTTGTTCGTTGAAATCTCTTCTTTCTGATAATTTAAAAAAATATATACATTACTATGGTAAATGTTCTCAGAAAAGGCAAAGAAAAGAAAAAAACTCGAATCGGATTTTTTTTTTAATCACTATGTACAATTTTGAGCTATTTAGTAAAATTTACACTTTAATTACTTGAAAAACGTAAGATTCTATGTTACATTGATAAAAAAAAATACAAATCACAATATACTACTATAATTAACAACCAAATATGTAGAATATTCTTTAAATTATGTGCATAGATGCCTATTTATTGCTATTTTATGATCCTTTTCCAGAGACTGATAACATTATGTCAATATTTTCTAGAATTATTGGCAGTAATTCTGTAAATTGCTACGAAGCGTTTGAAGAAGGGAAAAAATCTTTGCAAGCTATTGTTGGAATGAATTTTGGCAGTGTCAAATTTAAAAGGAAAAACAAAGTCTTGTCTCTAAAAACGGTTCAATCTTCCGTTAAAGTAAACGGAGATATTATAGCCATCGATCCATTATTGTTATTCCAAAGAATATCGTTAACAATTGACAGTAAAAAAGATATGGAATCTTATTAACAATACGAGCTTGCTCCTTATCCATTGTCAATTTTTACAGAAAATGGCCTCAGAAAAAATGTTAAATCTCAACTTTACGATTTATTTGTAAGTGCGAATGGACCAACGCATTCTGACGGCATTGTGCATGTCGTCTATGGTGAATTTTTACTGTAAAAAGTAATTTGGCAGAAAAATGAAACGGTGGAAGAGATCATGAATAAATATTTTCGGTATGTAGAAAAACATTACGCAGCAAGCAGCTATATCGTTTTTGATGGGTACCCCGAAATTAAAAAATCAGTTACTGTGAGAACAGTACCAGCAGCTACTTCAACTAAAAAAGGAGAACGTAGTCGTAGAAAAACCTCAGACAATATTCCAGAGTTTGATTATCAAAACCATACAAAAATACTATTTCTGCAAGAAAAATTTTTATCTAACGAGAAAAACAAGGACAAAATAATAAAAACGTTAATGAAAAGATTACAGTCACACGGATTTTCCTGTAAACAAGCAGAAGAAGATGCTGATGCAGATATTATTAAAACTTCGATAGAAATTGCCAGAGATACCAATAAAACTGTCATTGTTTTGGGTCAACATATTGATCTTTTGGTCCTTTTGAATCAATTAACTTTAAATAATCATGACATTTATTTTCTCAAACCAGGTTCCAAGAAATGTAAAGATCTATTTTTCACGTCTAATAGTTTCAAATATGAATCTTTCAAAAATATCGTTGCATTTCTACATTGTTTTTCTGGTTGCGATACATCTGGATTTTCCGGAAAAATAAAGAAGAGTATTGTAAATTCATTATTAGACGATAAAAATGTATCAAATTTGGCCAATATTTTCTATAAAAAAGATACAAACAAAAAAGAGTTCGAAAAAAATGGATTACAATTAATCAAATCTATTTATAAATGTAAAAATGATAATATAACACTGAATCAATTAAGATTTCAAAAATATCAATTGGCAAAAATTAAATCATCTTTCATATTGGCAAATCTCCCACCCACAGAAGGTGCAGCAGAACAACATTGTTACAGGGCATATTATCAACTTCAAACATGGCTAGGTATTGAACTGACAGCAACAGATTGGGGCTGGAAGCAACATCAACGTGGGATTATGCCCAAATTTACAGAGAAGGAGTTAATTCCGGAAATATTGCTCAAAACTATTTGCTGCAGCTGTGAAACTGGATGTAACAGTTTAAAATGTGGCTGCCGAAAACATGGCACAATGCACAAATTTATGCTCAAATTGTAATGGTTCTGAAAAATGCACCAATGTGGAAGAAAAAACCTACGAGGAAGTTAGTGATTCAAATGAAATTGTGTCTTTAGGACATAAAAAGGTAAGTTGTCACCAAATTTCAAGAAAAAACATTTTTTTTGCATAAAATAAAAATAAAAAACCAAAAACTTGATTATTTAAATTTTTCACATAAATTTTGAGGTTATGTGAAAAAAGTGTAACTACAAAAGTTGTAGGTCTCTTTATTACCTACAACTTTGTCCAATTTTTTTCCATGGGACTTGTAGTTTTGCTGTAAATCGAGATACACCGTTTTTACCATTAAAAACTCACCCCCTTCCACTTCCCGACCTCAGATCGCCCGTAAATTATTTTTCCTTTCATTTTTGTTATATTCTTGTCCTTTTCTAACGGGTTTCATCCTACTATTATTTATTTTTGTTTCAAAAATTATCAACCCTGGTCTATAATTACATTTGCCATCTCACAAAATAAAGAATAGGATGTTAGAGTAACACCTAAGTAAATATAATTGTTGGTTAATGCTACAGTTTTATTCTCTAGTGGAATACGAAAACTTGATACTTGCATCTGTAAGTCCGCCATATTTGCAGATGTGCAAAGTTGCCGCTATATTTGCAGATCTGCAAAGTTGCAGACGTTCTGTAATCTTACCCATATTCTATAAATTAGAAAAACGACCCTCAATAAAAAAGTACACACCAGGTGTTCCGACTATTCCCAAAATTAATCAACTAGCGTTTTTCTGCATACAGACAAGAAAGTAAAACTGTATACTTACGAAACTTCAAGCTGTATAGCGTCATCCTTAATCATTTTAAATACGTGAAATTTTTCTTCCTTTTCAATTTGCAAGAATCTTTTCCTAACAATCCTTTTGATGAGCGGTACGAGTTTTTCGTGAATTTCTTTGAAGATAACTGGTCGCTTGTTGCTGTCGAAATTTATCCTTTTCGTAAAATTTAAGCCGGAAAAGATGGCGTCGTTGTAGGAATATTCGTCTTCGGGGTTTAGAGTAAAAACGCCTACTTCAATGCAACTGTCGAACTAAAAGAAATAATTAGGTACATATTAATTTTTTTTTGTTAAAAATTTAACAATATATACTTTATACAGTGCTTCTCAAAAGTCCCCTACCCCCCTTCTTTCTTTTAAACGGTTATATTTAGACTGATGTAATTTGGAAGGTGAAAATGAATTATTGTAGGCTATTCTACTAGTGGTAACAGGTGACGTATTAGACAATTGTGACGTCACCAGGCCACTGAAACCAATAATATTAAATGGGACCATATTTTAACCATCAAAAACATCGTAAATCCAAAAAAAAATAGTATGATTGAATAGGTATTCTTAATACCTTTCAAACGATGTGTCACTTGATATAAGGTCCTATTTAATATTATTGGCTTCAGTTGCCTGGTGACGTCACCGATGCCTATTACGTCACCTGTTACCATTAGTAGAGAAGCTAACAATAGATTATTTTCACCCCCCTCCAAATTTCATCAGTCTAAGTATCACCGTTTAAAAGAAAAGAGGGGGAGGGGACTTTTGAGAAGCAGTGTATAGCATTTTTAATATAAATACCGTTGCGGGTCAGCAGTGACGTCAGTCATTCGTCATAGTACTACCAACTAATTAAAATGTCCCTAACTAAGCTAATAATCCGAAAATGTCACGAATATTTACGATCATCCATGAACGTAGTCATATTACTAAAAAACTGAAAAATGTAAAGGTGAAAATAAACCGCTCCTAACAAAAAATGACAAATTTGAAGTAAATAAAGGTTCACTAATTGATGTTCTTGAATTTCCTGACTTAAAAAAAAGAAAAAAACTTGTTCGGTATGTTTATTTCTCTTATTACGTGCCAAAATTGAGATATTCTAAACTGTAATATTGAAGCGACATATCATATTGAAGATTTAATGATAGGTATGCTACAATTTGATAAGAGTGGTAATAAAATTCTACATGATTTTAAAATTCTCAAGATGTACATTGAAAACCAAAAATACTATTTTTGTTTTTTTCTTTCAGTAGTAAACTTCTAAATAATAATTAATAATGAAGTTACAAGATTTGCTATAACAGTCTACCTGCCCTACCTACTATTAAATCTTTGATATATGATGTTGTTTAGATATTAAAATTTAGAATATTGAAATATTCACACATGTTATATAAAATTTTTCACCTTGTTCCTCACTCATGTCTCCTAATTTTTTTGGAAAACGGTTTAAGTGGTTTTGTAAATAGTGTATTTTAAAACTCATATTGCACCATAAGGATTTGAAACTAATAAGCATCTTGTTAACCATTTCAACATAGTTTTGAGCTTTATGTTTGCCTAGAAAATTTTCTACAACTGCAACAAATGATGTCCAAGCTTCTCGTTCTTCAACTTGATTCATTGAATTTATGAAGGCAGGATACTTAATTAATTGTCTTATTTGTGGGCCGTCAAATATCCCTGCTTTGAGTTTTTCTGTGCTCAACTGATGCATTTTTACCCCTATATTATTATAAGCTAAAGTGCTTAAGTTATTGTCATTTGCACCATCGCATCGTAAAAATAGAAGAAAAATAGATATAAAATAAAAATGTTTATTTTCACTTTTGGTATATAAACTATATAAATGGTTTATTAAGCTTTATATTATAGCCCGGATTTATGATCGCTAAACTGAACTGTTTTGCTCTTTTTATTTAAATTCTAAGGATTATTTATTTCATTTGTATAACTGGTAGAATAAAATATATTTTTTTTTTTTTATTATTATTATTTTCTCTTTATACGCTTGGGCTTTTTTTTGCATATTATTAATTGTCTTCCACCAGAGCAAAAGTGTTAAAACTAATGCTTTTTTCCCAATCACTATAAATGATTTATGATTACTGTTCTTATTTATTCTGTTTCAATGAGCAGGGGGATATGTCGCGAGCAAGGTATCGTTTTTGCGAATTTTAGTAATTTTTTTTTTAATTTTACACATTCTTTTCTCTCTCTCTTCCTTTACCAAACTTCTTTATCTTTCCTTTTTTTCCTTTATATTTCTTTTTCTTGTAGGAAGTGCTTATCTATTAAAATATAAACATTATTTTTGAATTGTATGATGTTTAACGTATCTCATTTAAATGTCCGATCACTGATTCCACATTTTGTTAATTTTCGAAATTACGTTCTCGATACAGATTGCGATGTTGTTGGTGTAACAGAAACCTGGCTAAATCCAGAAATTGATATCAATTTAATACATTTAGAGGCTTATAAATTTATTCGTCTGGATAGACCAACCAGAGGCGGAGGTGTGGGTATGTATATTAAAGAAAAATTTAAATATGAGTTAATTTTATCTGAGTGCAATGAAAATATAGAATATCTATGGATTAAACTGTGGGTTGGAAACACGACTGTAGCAATTGGAACATTGTATAGGCAACCAAAGAGTAATTATTTACAATTTTTAGATGAAGTCGAAAATATATTTTCGAACATTTTTTCAAATTTTGATTATCTTATATGTGTAGGCGATTTTAATATAAATATGCTCGATATTGATAACTCCAATACAATACGTTTTTGTGACATTCTTGAGGCATTTAACTTAACACAAATAATCAAGGAGCCTACAAGAGATAGTTCCTTGCTAGACTTAATCATCACAAATATAGATTCCAACTTCTGCAATGATTCTGTTGATCACAATCTAGTTGCTGACCATTCAGCAATTAACTGTAAATTTAACAATTTTTATATCAAACCTCAGGAACAAATAAAAATTACATATCGATGTCTGACAAAAATCAATTATGAAAATTTTCAAAGAGATCTTAGTTCCATGCCTTGGCATAACATTTATACTGTAAATGATATTGACGAAATGGTAAATTTATTGAACACTTATATAATGACAGTTTTAGAATTGCATGCTCCTAAGAAAACAATTATCAGAAAACGAATTAAATATACTCCGTGGATTACTGAGAATATTATTCTTATGCAAAAACTCCGAGATAAGGCTTTGCAAAAATTTCGCAGAACTCAATTACCACAACATTGGTCATATTATAAACAATTAAGAAATTTCACAAATAATGCTATAAAGGCTGAAAAAAGAGCATACTTAAATTTTAAATTCCAAAATTGTAATATAAAAGAAAAATGGTCTGAACTAAAAAAACTTAACATATCTAAAAATAAAAAACAGATATTCCCAACAATTTGAAAGATGCCAATGCCATAAATAGTTTTTTTACTTCTAGATGTAATAATGTGGCTATGGATGATGACTTAATACATTTTTATTCAACTAATACTAAGGAGAATATCACGGAACACTTTCTATTTCAGGAAGTTACCGAGGATGCTATAAATAATATTATATTTAATATTAAATCTAAAGCTTACGGTGTGGATGATATTAATAGTACAATTTTACAACTCTGCTGTCCATTTATTACTCCATTTATAACATACATCATTAATGAATGTTTAGCAAAAAGTATTTTTCCTTCTGCCTGGAAATTTGCTAAAGTTATGCCGTTACCAAAAGTAAGTGTGCCTAAAGATTTTAGTGAATTGCGATCAATTAGTATTCTACCTGTTTGTTCAAAAATTTTAGAGAGAGTAATGGAAATGCAAATAAGTATTTTTTTTAAAAACAATAACATATTGCCTAATAAACAGTCAGGCTTTAGGGCAGGATACAGCTGTGCAACAGCCTTATCTGATGTAACAGATGATATTCTTAGGGCTATTGATAATGATAACATTACTTTTTTAATACTGTTAGATTTTTCAAAAGCTTTTGACACTATAAACCATGAAATATTTCTAGCCATGCTAAAGTATTTTAAATTTAATAATCACTCTGTCTCACTTTTAAAATCATACTTTCATCAAAGAAACCAAATAGTGCAAATAGATAATATTTTTTCTTCTTCGATGAAGGTCACTTCTGGAGTACCTCATGGAAGTATATTAGGCCCATTGTGTTTTAGTCTATTTATATACCTCACAATTTCCTACTGTTTTGAAATACTGTAATAGTCATTTATACGCGGACGATACACAATTATATTACTCTTTTAAACATTCTACACTAAATGATTCCATCTTAAGAATTAATTCAGATTTGACTAATATATTTAATATATCTGAAAGGCATTCATTAAAAATAAATCCAAGTAAATTAAAAGCTGTGATATTCTGTAATGAATTAATTAGAAAAGAAGTTACATCTGCAGCATCAATCAAAATAAATAATATGAATATTCCTATCGTTAGCGAATGTAAAAATTTGGGTCTCATTTTAGATTCTAAGTTAAAATTTCAAAAACACATTACTGTTAAATTAAAGACATCTTACGCAAGTTTGAAACTAATATATGGACAAAGATATTTTTTGTCTCAAGAGGTGAAAAAGCTGTTGTGCGATTCATTGGTATTATCAAATTTCAACCACTGCGATATTGTGTACGGCCCTTGTTTAAATAGTTTTGAGTCTAGAAGAATTCAAAAATTACAAAACTGTTGTATAAGATTAATATATGGAATTCGGAAATATGATCATATTTCAACTAGTTTTAAGCAATCAAATTGGTTAAATATGTATAATAGAAGACTTCTACATCTTGCCTGTGTATGTCATAAGCTTTTCAATACAAATATGCCTGCATATCTGCACGATAAACTAACTTACAGAACAGATATACATAATCTTAATATTCGACTCAAAAGTATCCTTAGGTTACCAAGATTTTATAAAGCTGGTTTCAAAAAGTCATTTACCTATAACGCAACAATCTGCATCAATGATTTATACAGAAATAATCAGTTATTATTACGACTTAAAGCAAACACTTTTAAAAAACAATACAAGACTATTCTGTTACACCAACAATAATAAATTCTCGCTTCCAAAATGTTCCTTCCTCCTTCCTTTTTCCTCTTTTCTTTTCTTCCTTTTTCTTTCTCCTGTTCTGTCGGTCATCTTAATGTAAATTATTTTTATCACTCTGGCACTGGTGGAAGATCAG